ATACGCTATCCGATGTTACATTTCAACCCAGACAAAGAGTTATTCTTCCTATTAAAATAGATAATTCTAGCGAACACACTTCAGGAGTAATTGAACCAAACTTTTCATTTGTTGGCAAACACAATATTATGGGAGCACGGTGCTTAATAGAAACACATAACAATTCTGTATTTGAAATGTTACATCATACTTTAGTGCTGTGTAATAACATTGAAACAAAATACTATAATTGGAAATTTCATTAAAAAGTTTTGGTGAATTTAAAGAAAATTTTGAGTTTATAGATAGTATCAGAACTGGCGAAGCTTTTAATTAAAAAAAACAATTATTTCAAAATTGCTACCAAGATGGGTATTGATCTATCAAAGTTCGATTTAAAGAAACACAAAAATATCAGTTATTGACTCTGTTAGGGCAATATAGGCAAGCTTTTGCTAAACATATTACCGAATTGGGCTGTACCAAAATAGGCAAACAAATCATTGATACAGGCGAGGCAAATCCAGTCGGACTACTCCGAAATCAAAGGAAGAAATAAACGTACATCTGGACGAAATGGAAGAACGAGGTATTATTCGGAAGAGCATGTCACCATGGAGCAGCCCCATTTTACTAGTAGCAAAGCCAAATGATGAGAAGAGAGTGTGTGTGGACTATCGAAAACTTAACCGTCTCACGAAAATCTGCACGAAATCGCTCCGGAACCTGTCAGACGTACTGTATACACTTGGGGAGAAACGGACTTAGATATATAGTGTCTGTGATATGAGACTTGGCTCTTGGCAGCTGGAACATGATGAACATTCCAAAGAAAAGACTACTTTCATGACGCATCGAGGTCAATATGAATTTAACAGACTTTCATATGGCCTAACAAATTCGCCTGCAACGTTCAACATGATAATGAATGAAGTAATCCGGGACCTCAAAGAAGGTATAGCTGTAGACCCAGAGAAAACAGCATCAGTACAGTCATGTTCGGCCCCGAAAAATATCAAAGAAGTACGTATGTTTCTTGGACTATGCAATAATTACCGGAAGTTCATACACAACTATTCCAAAATAACTTCTCCGCTTAATCAGCTTCTGTATAAAGATCAGCCATTTCAGTGGACCGACGATTGCCAGTGCTCCCTTGAAACACTAAAGATGAAACTCACATCAGCTCCAATCCTAGTATTCTCGGACTTCAACAAAGAGTTTATTTTTCATACCGACGCAAGTGGTACTGCGATAGGATATGTGCTGGTCAACACGACAAAGACAAAAATTGCACATGACGCACGCATGCTACGTAAACAAGAACAAAGATGGGACGTTAAAGACAGAGAATGTCTTGCACTAGTTGTTGCAATCAAACTGTTCCATGTTTATTTGGCCAATAACAAATTCCACATGTATACAGATCATATAACGTTACAATGCATTCATCGTATTAAATAGAGTACCGGACGTTTAGTAAGATGGTCCATGTATCTTCAGACATACAATTTCGAAGTTCGCTATCAACCAGGAAAAGATAACTAATGCGCTGACTTCCTCTCTAGAATTCAGCACCCCGAGAAACAGCGTCAGCGTCGACTAAGTATAGACGAAATTGAAGCTCCATATACAGCAACCGAACATTCCATAAAACAGGATGACCAACAGCTGTGCAACGAAAATCAGAGGTTAGCCGTTAGCGAATTAAGCACAGAAACGGTGAAGTTAAAAGACTTAGACGAATCAAAACGTGAATCAGTATCAACAATTAAGGCAATCAATGAAGCAGATAATCACAACCGAAATGTAGATCCATTAATCCTGATGATCGAAAGCACAAATGAAGATGAAGCATGACAAATGCTACAGTATATTGAACAGAACACACTACCTGAAGACAAAAAGAAAGCTGACGTAATAGTCCGAGAGTCATACCATTACTTTGTTTCTTGTGGTATACTGTTTATACATTATTATCCGAGTGGAAAAGGATACCTGTCCGAAAGAGTCGTCAAACAACTAGCTGTACCGAAGTCATTGCGTAACGACGTACTTTTATCGTACCATGATGCAATTATTGCAGCACACCCAGGGATTGACAGGACCTACAACAACATCCGATTGAAATATTATTGGAAAAGAATGTACTCGGATATTGAAGATTATTTGAAGACGTGCATTGAATGCCAACAGGGCAAGACGAATCCACATTCTGAGAGAGCACCATTACAGCCTCAACCAGCTAAGGGAGTCTTCGAAAGAATACACATGGACAATTTGTGCAATTTATCCACGTCAGCGGGAGGTTTCAACCAAATTTTGCTAGTTGTCTGTCCGTTTTCGAAATGGTGCGAAGCCTTTTCAATGAAAACTGGGAGAGCAGTAGAAACCGCAAGAGTCCTGTTCAACAAAATACTGTGTAGAAATGGTCCATGTAGGGAAATTGTTACAGATTTGGGAAAAAACTTCACGTCGAACCTTGTAAAAGAAATTTGCAAAATTTGCCTAATAACTAAACTCAACACTTCGTCCTATCACACAGAATGTGATGCACCAACCGAACGACACAATCGTACATTATCTGCATCTTTAAGAATGTATTGTCATGAGAACCAGACCACATGGCTCGACTATTTACAATGTATCATGATGGCTTTCAGGAATAGAGTTCAAACATAATCCCAATTTAGTCCACATTATTTGGTCTTTGGAAGGGAAGCTCGAAATCCTGTCGACATCGCACTTATTCCAGAATCAACGAGAGGATTAATCAAAGATGCAGAGTCAGCCCTTAAATTGATTATCGATAATCTCGCCGTTGCCAGAAAAATAGCTAAGACAAATATTGAAGCTGCACAACAGAAGTATAAAACGCAACACGGCAAAAATGTAGAGGAAATATTTTTTTATATACTTTGTTCATGGACTCCGGTTGGCTCGTCGCCCAAACTTCAACGATAATGGACTGGACCATATTATATTGCGGAACATGTAGGCGAATAAACTTACCGTTTGCGCAATTATTCTCACGATAAAACATTGAAGGCACCAGTACATGCAAATCGATTTAACAGCTTTACAGGTATCTCGACCCCAAGAATTGCCCCACGAACCCACCCGATGTTGTTAATAAAGATGACGACTTAAACCCAGAGGAAGTCATGGACATGCCTGAAATCCTTGACAGAGTCAATGACACAATTATTAACCATACACAAAATCAAGTAAGGAAAAATAATCAAAATGATCAAGCACACTTACACAAAGATACGGTATCTCGACAATCTTGTTGTAAAGCGCTTATGGTAATTTTCATATTGATGCGCTCTTAAAATACTGTATTATAATCTTGTATTTTACCAGAAATATATACAAGGTTAAAGAAGGTTTATTGACATCAAAACTATTTTCAATAATTAAACGAGAATGCCAACCACTGTTACAATTTGAACACTAAACTGCATTGTCTTTCACTGTGCTCGTTTGCACGCTTAGTTTAGTATTGGAAATGAAATGTAAGTTGAATGTTAAATGTATATGCTTATTTGCTTTACCTATATAAATATTTGGATGAATGATATTACCTTTAATTCATTTTAGGAGAGATTTTGTTCAGCTTCAGTTTTTCTGTAATTCATTTTGATGCACTTTTCTGGAGTACCCTTCACTACTATTATACGTAGTCAAATATTGGTTTCAGTCTCATTGGTATATTTGTAAATCTTAAATTGCTGATCTTGTTTAATCAGTTGCTGTCTATCTATAGTAGTTTTCATTAAAAGCAGATCGTTATAATTGGTAAAAATCATCACCTAATGGCTAAATATCCTAGGAGTTGTCTGATATTTTTAAAGAAATGAAGAGTAAGTAGATCTTGTCTTTCTGAAATTTTTACCTTTCAAAGTTTATATATTATATTTCAAATTATAGATATTATACTTTACTTGGCCTTTTCAGTCTTTTGTAGACTACACGCGCATATGGTTTACAAAATTTTAATACTGGTATCTATGATTAGTTTATATACATCCACTGGGTCGATGCCACTGCTGGTGGAGGTTTTCCTCCACGAAGGTAATATCACCAGCCCAGTAGTCAGCACTTCTGTGTTGACATGAATTATCATTTACATGGTCATTATTATGAATTAACTGTTTACCAAAATTGACTTTTTGGAAATTGTAAGGATTTTCTACCCCAGGAATAGAATACCGTAGCTGTATTTGGCAAAATCTTTCGGAATTTTGAGTCCATATTGCTCTTCAAAAAATTCAACGTACGACTGATGATAACAGACGCCATGTGTTGAAAATAGGCCACATGGCACCAAGGGCCAGCTGTGCTCAAACTGACCTATCCGTATAAATTGAATTTAACTAGTACCACAATAACTGTCAGTTTTTGCCAAATTCCAAAAATGGAAAAGGTGTTTGCATTAATACATATTATTTACTATAACATCGGTTACACATAATACAAATATGGACGGACGGACTTATTGAACTGACTACTTAACTATGAAAATGAGGAAACTAGAACGTTTAGTGGAACAAAGCAAGGATAACTTCTTCATTATACTGTAACTGTAGTAATTATGCTAAACCATATATATTTCTTTATCAGTTAAAGTAACATGTTCAAATGTTCACTATCATCTCACTGCGAAGTAATATGAATATGTTTTTCCACATCGTATATTTTGTTACTGAATATGAATTTATGGAATAAAAAGAACTGTATTTGAATAGCAACAGCCGTCATTTGGAGATTTGACAGTAACAGTTTTAGCTTTACTGAAAAACTAACATCAAAACAACGTCAGATGAACGAACAGATTTAAAGTACGTTATCCCTTGGTACATATATAGGGTGCTAAGAACTTTTAGATAACATCTCATTAATCAAATAATGTATTATATAAACGTAGATTGTTTTTTTATTTTTCGGTCAGTTTGCAATAATTAAACAAGTTGATTACTACATATCAAATTTGCATTTGATGGCAAACAAAAATTGCATTACAATTCATTTTTTTAATAGTATATTGTCACACACATCAACAAAATCTAATTATTAGTATTTATGACAAAAATGAATTAAAAGAAATAGTTTGTTATTTTATACAGAAGAAAAACAAATCAATACACTACAAATGACATTGCTGAACTTTTGGAGGAAAAATTTCCAACTTCTTCAATTTTAAACCAAGATTGGCAGTGAATGACTATAGAACTAAACACGTTAGATTGACTTAGTTCTTGAACAACTTTAAAAATGAGGTTTTGAAATTCAATTATTAGCTTGTATCTACTAACGCGTTATAGTAATACACTATTTTATGATTAAAAAACCTTTGGGAAAATAATATTTCGGAACAAACTTCATAACGCAAAATATCTACATCTTCACAGGACGGAATTAAAACATGAAATACTTTTAAATCTAAAACTTATTTTTACAAATTTGAAAACATGATAAAAATTCTCTTCGTCATATGACAATTGTTTTTTTTTTTTAAATTGACATCATTTTAAAATCATATATATGTAACGTTATTAAAAGGTGAAGTTTCCTTAGCATCATCCCAACATGACATCATTTTTATATAATAACAGCTTAAGCAAACTTCTATATGTGTACGATAAACATTGAAAGCAGAACTGAAAAACAGATATTTTCATTATAACATCAATTCGATGACATTTTTCCTTATAATCAATAGAAAAATGACACGATAGAAAATTTTGCCGTCGAATGAAACGAAAAAAAATCTACCAATTAAGATTCTATAAAAGTGCTTCGCGTTTGAAAGTACTATGCAAGAAATCCTTTTATCCAAATGGTTTAAATAATACCAATGGCACTCTGTTACTTTTTTTTATTTCTGATTTTTGTGATGGTTACCTTTCATACATTTTGGTCACTCTGAAAAGAATATTTTTAACATCAAATGAATGATCATCAATGTAAACATTCAGGTTATCTCCAATTTGGTTTCATTAATCTGCTTCTGTTTGGACTGTGCAATTTTTCGTGTCTTCATGTGATTGTTGAAAATCATTCCTGCTCGAGTCTTTATTTTGATTCTTAGATTTTTTCTTCTTTTTCTTTTGTTTTGTAACCTCCGTCCCTGCATCTGTCTGGTTCGTCATTTCTATGGCGGGCAAATCGGGCATTTTTCTACCAATGGGCGTATTTATCCAAACATTTTCAGCAGTACTGTAAATGTAACAAATTAAAGTTCTTAAAATAAGATGGCAATTTATATGCATAGATATAAAATGATTCTTTTATAGCGTATGATACTAAATAAATGTTGATTATTACCAGCAGTTAATAACATGGTTTATACCCAGGCAAGTACCTTGTAACGTTTTTTATGTCATATTTGGTATCGGTATAGTCGTTCCTAATAGGAAGGATTTTATAGAAACGACAAATATATTCTCTGTTATGTAGGGTATACGTAAAAGGAGCTGCAATTCAACGACAAAGAACACAAACCCCTTAAAAGATGTGTCAAGGTAGACATACGATATCCAACAATAGCAAGGTCCACATCAACCTATCTATAGCACTTAATCGACGAAAGTCCAGAAAAGCTGTAAAAGGATTTTTCAGGGACCATTAAGATCTGCAATCAAACTCCTAATTTATCAGAAAACACCATGATAAATCAAGAGAAAATATCTTTCATAGTCAAATGACCTTATCGGTTTGCAGATCGGCATCAACGTAACAAGTACTTTTGCCTAATAAAACGCAGTCGATCGTATTTTGATTCAAATGGCTTACAAACATATTTAAAACATATCCTTTGTACATATTGTTTGATAGGCTAAAATACAAGCAGGTGAAGTCTCTTTTAATCACTAGCAGCAATTTTTGTTAGCTGATAAAAAAGTAAGCGCATATTAGAAGTCAAGACCGCTTTTTTTCAACTTAAAATTTTAACATTGGTGACATTGGTAGGTACATACACTTAATAGGGTTAATGTGAGAATAAATAAGATTAAACCACAATTTATTGTGTGATGGAATACTACATGAAATCAGCATAATTTATTTTTACTTACGGGAATGGAACAACACAATAGAATAGGACATCAAAATATATGTATATATATATTCATGTACTGGCAATCATACCACATCACCTTATTTTTTTTTATATATGGCATCATTCTGTCTTTTCGCGACACATGGGGTTGAACCTATGTGTAAACAGTTGCATTTTTTTAATTAAGTATCCAATGTTTACTTTCTGAATGAATAACTCTTTTGTCGGTTTTTGTAATGAGTATTTGATGTAAAAGTTAAGAAATGCAGAAAAAAATGAAGCTCAATTGTTCACGCACAATTGAAAGGTCTCTCACTAAGTGACTTTCTTTTTGTAAATTGTATATTCATACTTTCATTCATGTAGACTCAGTGCGCTATACAAAATGTAAAAACAAATCCATAAAATCCTAAAAATAGGGGCAAAATACAAAGGTTATTAAGTAGGACGTGATCTTAACCCTTGCCTTTATGGCCTTCATTAATGTCTTTGGTCCCCGGATTTCATTTCAAAGATCCCATGCCTCTATCATGAACCAATATTTAGAAATATGTAATAAATTATTAATCTTACATTTCGGGTGCATTAACTCCCATTAAGTCACGTCATGTAATTTTCAGGCAATGCAACAATTCTGCGCTTCAATGTGTCAAACATTTTACATCGACTTTTATTTCTCTACCTATTACTGGTTCTGACTTTAATAGCTGGTAACAAGCAAATGTCAAAATGAAGGTCATGACCTTGATCTTTTACATACCGCTTACATCAAATATGTAAATGGATATAACTACTATAATACGCCAACGGATTATTTCGACCCATGTAAAAAAGACGCGACATGTCGCAGGGAACAATTAAACAAACTCTTTGTCGATATCTCTGATGGTTTCCCAGATTATTTGCTAACAAGGTTTTGGTTTCAGGGGAGATACATTCTTTAGGAGAAATGGTACGCATAAACAGGGTGACTGCAATATAACTTATGGTCAACTAATGCATGATACCTAATATCATTCCAGTCACTTATTTTTTTTAGCAGTTGTCATTTAAGTTGGCGGAAAAAGAATAATCCGAAAAATCATAGTAAGGTATTTCCCTTTGTAAAAGGAAAGACCTAAATATTAATCAGAAGAAATATAGTAAAGGGTTTCTCGTAAAAGAAAAGAACTTAATGATAAAATACGTAAGAATTTCAAATAAAATTTGAAAAGAGATATAAAACTTTACGAAACAACTTATCCAAATCGGACGAACTCTTGCAAAATCCGCATAGAACAAAGGGAAACAATTTTCCAATCAAAAAGACACAAAAAAATAAGCAAAAGTTAGAAATAGGTTTCATAACGAGTGAGAATTGGATATCGCTTGATATCAACTCGAGGTATTTAATTTCAATGCTAGTATTATAAACTAGAGGCTCTCAAGAGCCTGTGTCGCTCACCTGTATTTACTTTTTTTTTGGAAATCATGTAAAATAAGGTTAAAGTCATAATTAATAGTATTAGATATTAGATATTATAGTGATATCTAAGATAATAACAAATAAAATGCTCCGCTGGGCGCAGCTTGATACGACCGCAGAGGTCGAACCCTGAACAGTTGGGGCAAGTATGGACACAACATTCAAGCTTGGTACAGCACTGAATTTGGATGGTGATTAAATATTTGACACAGCACAGGTTTCTGACACAGAATGGATGTGGTCTAAGAACTTAAAAATTTTTAATTTACCTATTCAAACCATATCATTATTATTTTCTTTTATATATAAATCAGAAATAAACAATTTAAAATGGAAAATTTTATAGAAACCCCCCCCCTCAAATTTTTTGAACCCCCTTATGATTCATCACCCAAAACTCAATCCCAGCCTTCCCTTTGTGGTATGGTACCTTGCAGTACAATTTCAGAGAGATCCATACTCTTGAACACAAGTTATTGTCTGGAAACTAGAAAAATGCTTGTTTTTTTTGCCCCTTTTTGGCCCCAAATTCCTAAACGTTTAGGGCATTTACCCCCAAACTCAAACCCAGCTTTCCCTTTGTGATACGAAACCTTGTAGTACAATTTCATAAAGATCCATACACTTACACACAAGTTATTGTCCTGAAACTAGAAAAATGCTTCTTTTTTGTCCCTTTTTTGGCCCCTAATTCCTACAATTTTGAAGCAATTAGCCCCAAAATCAATCCCAGCCTTCCCTTTGTGATATGGTACCTTGCAGTACAATTTCAGAGAGATCTATACACTTGAACACAAGTTATTGTCTGGAAACTAGAAAAATGCTTATTTTTGGCCCCTTTTTGGCCCCTTTTTCCTAAACGTTTTGGGCAATTACCCCCAAACTCAATTCCAGCTTTCCCTTTGTGATATGGAACCTTGTAGTACAATTTCAGAAAGATCCATACACTTACACACAAGTTATTGTCATGAAACTAGAAAAACCCTTTTTTTTTTACCCTTTTTTGGCCCCTAATTCGTAAAATTTTTAGGCAATTACCCCCCAAAATCAATCCCAGCATTCCCTGTGTGATATGGAACCTTGTGGTACAATGTCAGAGAGATCCATACACTAACACACAAGTTATGTCTGGAAGTTACAAAAATGCTTATTTTTGGCCCCTTTTGGCCCCTAATTCCTTTACTGTTGGTACCATAACCCCCAAAATCAATCCCAACCTCCCTTTTGTGGTATTGAACCTTATGGTAAAATGTCATAGAGATCCATTCACTTAAACTAAAGTTAGAGTGCGAAAACCAACGTGTCTTCGGACGACGACGACGACGCCGACGACGACGACGACGCCAACGTCATACCAATATACGACTGCAAAATTTGTTTGCGGTCGTATAAAAACTGCAAAATTTCTGTAAATTTACTAACTCAGGGGCAGCAATCCAACAACGGGTTGTCGGATTCGTCTGAAAATTTCAGGGCAGATAAATCTAAATCTGATAAACATTTTTGCCACCTGTCAGATTTGCTCTAAATGCTTTAGTTTCAGAGATATAAACCAAAAACTGCATTTTACCCCTATGTTCTATTTTTAACCATGTCGGCCATGATGGTTGGCAGGCGGGGTCATCGGACAATTTTTTTAAACTAGATACCCTTATAATGATTATGGCCAAGTATGGTTAAATTTGTCTCAGTAGTTTCAGAGAAGAGGATTTTTGTAAAAGATTACAAAAATTTACGAAAAATTGTTAAAAATTGACTATAAAGGGCATTAACTCCTAAAGGTGTCGACTGACAATTTTGGTCATGACGACTTATTTGTAGATCTTACTTTGCTGAACATTATTGCTGTTTACAGTTTATCTCTATCTATAATAATATTCAAAATAATAACCAAAAACTGCAAAATTTCCTTAAAATTACCAATTCAGGGGCAGCAACCCAACAACGGGTTGTCTGATTTGTCAGAAAATTTCAGGGCAGATAGATCTTGACCTGATAATCAGTTTTACCCTTTGTCAGATTTACTCTAAATGCTTTGGTTTCAGAGATATAAGCCAAAATCTACATTTTACCCCTATGTTCTATTTTTAGCCATGGCGGCCATCTTGAATGGTTGGCGGGGTCATCGGACACATTTTTTAAACTAGATACCCTAATGATGATTGTGGCCAAGTTTGGTTAAATTTGGCCAAGTTTTTTCAGAGGCGAAGATTTTTGTAAAAGCTAACGACGACGGACGACGACGACGGACGACGGACGCCAAGTGATGAGAAAAACGAGCCTTAGGATTCATTATTATTCGTTGGATACCAATTTTTGTGGATTTCGTGGCTACAATTGAACCACAAAATTAAATGTTCAACGAATGACATATTTTATATAGACTTGTACGCAGACTTCGACAAAAACACGAAATTAAATATCCACGAACATGCAAGTTTTCCTTAATCAACGAAAATTGGTACTTACGGAAATAAATGAATCCACAGTATTACTATTTCAATTAAATAACGAGAGATGATATCAAGCGATATCCAATCCTTACGATTTGTTAAACCTATTTTTCTTATGGTCAACACTCTCATTGTGTTAACATAAAAGTCTGCGAATCGTTGTTCTAGTCTTTTGCACATACCAGTACGACGTCATATGTTCTGTTCCGGCGTCAAACTTTAACATCATACATTTCAAAAC